TATATATATATATATATACTAGTGGAGTCGAACATTCTTACTATTATAAATACTACTAGAAAAGTGTCATTTTCCTGCAAAAAAATATTCGCAAAATTTTTTTGCTAATTTTCCTGCGAAAAATAATTTACAGATATTTCTTACAAATTTTGCTATAATTTTAATGATCATAGAAATTTTTTTCCATGGTAAAAATTTGCAGAAAATATTGTAAGAATTTTATTTTATTTCTTGCAGATGTTTTTGCAAAAATAAATTCGCAAGTAATGTTTACTAAATGGTAGAAAAATTTTGCAGATAACTTTTCTTGCGGATTTTCCTACAAATTTTAATCTGCAAGAAAAATAAAAAAAAAATATTTAAATTTATAAGTTTAATATTTTAAAAAAACTTCAAGTCCTACATCGATTGAAAATAAAATAATTAAAAAGTATATAAGTTGGGGGAACACTTACTTTATAAGTTGATTTGTATGGTTGAGTGTTAGACTTGTCTACAATCTTAGAATTTAAAAGATTTTGTATCACATGTTGGAGGCATGGAAATAAATGCTTCGGATGAATTCATTGTGAACATTTGAAAGTTGAAGAATTATTGATAGAATTTATAGTAATTTCTTTAATTTTTTTTGTAAAAAATAATCCTGCAGAATTTTTTGCAAAAAAATTCGTAGGAAAGTTTCCTGCAAATTTTTTTTTTCAATAATTTTTTTTTTGCATGAAACTTTCCTGCAAATATTTTTCGCAAGAAATTTTGCGAGAAAATTTCCTGCCAATTTTAAAATTTGCAAAAATATATTATCCACGAAGGTATTAACTGTAGATAAAATTTCGTAGAAAAATTTGTAGGAACAACATTTCCGGCGAATTTTTCATAAAAATTCGTAAGAAAAGTCACATGTAATAAGAGAAATTGTAGTAGAGAAAATTATCTATATTTGTTAACAATGTTTAAAAGTGTTTAAAAATTATCAATATTTGTTAGATTAATTGGTGTTATATTTGATCTTCAAATCTAAAGATTTTGAGTTTGAGTTTTATATTTGTAAAAATAATTAATTTTTAATATTATTTTTAATAATTTAAAAATTTAAGGATAATATTATCTAAAAAATTGTGTACAGAAAATGGAGGAAAACCCTTTCTTAT